CATAGAAAAAAAAAGCTACAATTATATCTTTAAATTTGAACTTTGCACTGAGATAGAGTACCTACTATTCCCTATTGGATGTTGTAATGTCCCAAAAATATTAATATTGAATTATTTCAAATGTAGAATTATTATAAATTTTCTTTGATCTTCAAAAATTACTTTGAGCTTCAAGAATTCCATATAGCTCACATTATACATTGATGACATGTATAGATCATCATTGCTATTTTACTATCTCATTGTATAGAGAATTTCATTCTATCTGCTGTTAAAACTAATCATTCCATGTTTTGTAGCACCAGATGGTAGATATCCACAGCCAGTCCTAGTTAATCTGCAAAAGTTCCTCTTGCATACTCTATTTTTATTAACATTTGGAAAGACTTTAGATCAAGAAATCAACATTACAGAACTTCACACTTAACAATCTTCATTGCAAAGCCAACCCTGCTGAATCAGAGATTACATTGATCATCAGGAATTTCTTTTTATATTCTAGTTTAACATTTCAGCCTTTAGAATATAACTAAAGAATCAAGATAATGCATTTATGGGTGCTTATATAAAATTTTATTTAAAAATAAAGAGCCTGTGTTGCTTGGAGGCAAGGATTCTGAAGCTCCATCTAACATACATTGGGCAAGAAGGAACCAGTCCTTGTAGAGGGACATTATGCTTGGGAATATGGATGGACAGCACAAGAGAGGAAAGCTAGTGACTGGGTAATGGAGATAGGTGTGTCAGAGACAATAAGGTTGGATCAGTATAGAGTAGGGTTCAGAGCTCTTGTATATATAGGGTCATTGTGATTCACAGGTGACTTGTCAGCACATAAAGACAACAACAACATTTTGCCTTTGAGGAAAAAAAATCAGTCTGTCTTCATATCCAATATGCCTCTATTGGCATATGTTCTGCTATTATGTGCTGTCAAGTGAACCATGACTCATAGAGACCCTATGCACAATAGCTTTAAAACCTGTCCTATTCTGAGCCAATCTCATTGCTCTGACATACCTTCGTCATTACCCCAGGTACTGTGTCAGTCCATATCATCCAGGGTATATTCAGTTAATCCTCATTCTATATGACATTTATTGTTGTTACCTTCAAGTTGAACATGACTCATAGTGACCCTATGAACAAAAGGCTTGAAGCCCCTATATAACTATCGACATTTATCAAAGTTCATATCATTTCCTGAGACCTATATGACACTTACTGTAATACAATGATTAAGATGCTAAGTCAAAGGTTGCAGTTTCAAATCAAACCAATAATTCCATGAGAGAAAGACCTGATTATGTTTTAATTTAATCATAGCTTAGGAAATCCTATGGAAAATAGACTTAAAATTGGCTATTTGAAATGAGAATATTAAAGTATGAGGCATAAAGTGTAAGGAACTGCAATTCTTTAAACACAAAAGTGAATATCAGAAAAAGCTCAAGTGTGGTCTGTGGTGTTTATTGTTCAAATTAGCTTTCCTTGATATTTAGTTTTACTTTGTCACAGATGTGGGAGGGGACAGAGGAATGGGGTTTATTAGTCTATTCACTAGGGGTTTGGCTAATCATGCACTGAGTGGATTCAGCAGTAGAAATTGAGAATCTCACCACTAGCAAAAATGAAGCAGAGAATATAGTATGGGAATCCTTAGGGCCCGACGACTCCTGCCCCATTCAGACCAGAGCTGACAAGAGCAGCAGTTGGAGCCCTGAACCAGAGACCTGACTTGAGACAGAGCTGACCTTGGGGCTGCTACCCCAATGGAAACAAAGCTAGGAGACTTCACCCAAGTTTGTTGGATGACTTAGGAGAAGGCTCTATAATTGGCAGGACTAAGACTGAAGTGCTGGTGGGCACAATTTAGAAGCTATGTTTTGGGTTGTTATTTTTAATTTTTTGTTTGTTTGTTTGTTTGTTTTTACTTCCCTAATAAATACTATTTACCTTTCCTAATTATAAACCAAATTAAACCTCCTTCCTCTGTTTGCACAATAGCTACTTGATCTCTGTATAGGTTTAGCATGAACAAAATTAATTATTCTGGGATTCCCATTCTTCTCAATGTTAGCCATAATCTGTTATGATCCACATGCTAAAATGCTTTTGTGTAGTCAATAAAGTGTAACAGACATTCTTCTATTGAAAACATAACAAGGGAACACTACATATTTTAAAATTAGGAAAGGTTGTGTCAGGGTTGTGTCCCATCTCCATACTTATTTAATGTGTATGTTGAGCACATTATTCCAGAAACTGGACTCTATGGAGAAGTATGTGACATCAGGATTGGATGACAATTAAGCATCCAATTAAGTAACCTTCACTAGGCAGATGACGTTACCTTACCTGCTCAAAGTGAGGAAGACATGAAACATTTGATGTAGAAGTTCAAACACAAGAAATAAAAAGTCCTCACCACTGGACATTATCATAGATAGAGAAAAGATTGAAATTATTTACCACTTCATCTTACTTGGATCCACAGTGAATATTCTAGGTGCCAGTAATCAGGAGATCAGGATATGTATTGCATTCGGGAAGTCTGTGGTCATGGACCTCTTCACATTATTGAAAACAATGATGTTAGCTTGAAGACTGACAGGCACCCAATTAAGTTTATGATTTTTCGGTCACTTGCTATATATATGAGACATATTGTTGTTGTTATTGTTGTTATGTGCCGTTGAGTCGCTTGCGACTCATAGCGACCCTATGTACAACAGCCCTAAACCCTGCTCTATCCTCTGCCAATCTCATTGCCTCTGAAACATCTATCCCGATTAC